ATTAGTATAATAATAATAATAATAATAATAATAATAATAATAATAATAATAATAATAATAATAATAATAATAATAATAATAATAATAATAATAATAATAATAATAATAATAATAATAATAATGTATTTTTGAAATGGATTTGTTAGTCGTTGCTAATATCCGTCACTACAATTTTGCAAATTATTTATCTTAGACACGAATATAGTTTCCGTTGCTAATATCTGTAGCACAAACTGATTGTTCTAAACCCAAGGGACGATTATAATTGTCGTCACTAAATTTGTCGCTCAAATTAGAAACAAATTTATTATCCCTTGCTTCAATCCGTCGCTACACAATTTTCTTAGCAACAAATATATAATTGTCGCAACATATGTTGCTACAAATTTATTTTAGAAATAGACTTAATATTCGTCGCTAGCGTTCGTTGCTACTTAACTACACTTGCAACGACTCTATTGTCTATCACTATATTCGTTGCTGGAACATTACTTTTGAAACAAACTTATCAGTTGTCGCAAACATTCGTCGCTAAAATCAAAGTAACACCATCTAAGGGACGATTTCAACTTCCGTCACTAATGCTATTGCTAAATCTTTACTTTAGCAACGAATCAGTTATACGTTGCCAATGTCCGTCGCTAATAGGCGATTTTCTAGTAGTGTTTAACATGTAAAAAAATTAATAGTTGAAGGGTGGTTGTAATTATTCAAACCGGAGAGAGATGTTTTCATAATTTGACCTTATCTGAACGGGTACTTTACCGCAGCTACCATGATCATAGTTATCCCCATTCGATCAAGCAAGCACGCTTCAAATCGGTTATCTTTTTTAAATATTTATTTTTTACATTTTTAGTTAATATATTTTCGGTTTTACCGGTACCAAATCAAAAAACACCGAATTAATTCAGTAAAAAACCGTACCGAACCAAATAGTTCAGTTCAGTAAATAGCACAAATTTTCGAAATACCAAAATTTTGATTTACCAAAATTCAGGTACAGTTTGACACGGTATTACCGAATGAACACCCAATAATGCATCCTAGCATTTTTTTTTGAAGTTCAACTCTCAAATCATTTCAACAAGAGATATATACAAATGCTAAAATTGTCCAAACATGTTGACTAAAGTGTAAATACACAAAAATACAAGGGTGTCAATGCAATTTTCCGAGTCAAATTCCTCCAGCTCCAAACCTCGAATTGTTCTACGAGAAACAGTAAAACATGTCTCAATCAAAACCATTAATGAATTCTCCAACCAGATTCAGGTAAAAGAATCTCACTCCGACCTCTTCTCATTTCCATTTTTAATGATTTATTTATTTCTCTATCTCCAAACAAAATTAAGTTTCTTCCTCGTTCAGTCATAATAAATTAATTATTCATTTATTACCACCACCCCCACCCCTTTCAGTTTGTCAAAACCCCTTCTGTAATAAACTACCAACCTTAATAATCTCTGCCCGAATCTTCAAAATCCAAAAAAAATCCCATCAAAGTTGAAATCTTTGCCACTTTTGATCTGGGTTCTTGGAGATATTTGCAGCTGACAAAAAAAATTCCCTTTTTTCGATTTGGATGTTGGTTTAATTGAAGTGGGGTGTTTCTTGATTTCTCAATCACCGGTCAAATGATGTTTTTTTTTCTAGGTTCTTGATCTGGGATCTTTATGTATATATGGTCTTACTTACTGAATTTTTAAGGTGACTTTTTCGAAGTTTTTTTCGTGGTTTTGATTTGTGGGGTTTTTCAAGAATTGTGAGGTGTTATAATTTATAAATAAGTCGATATATACGAATATCGAGAATTGTTGGATATGGCTACGGATGAATTGGTTGAGCTGAAATTCAGGCTTGCAGATGGTAGTGATATTGGACCAAGCAAGTATAATTCTAGTGCAACTGTTTCTTCTCTTAAGGAAAAAATTATTGCACAATGGCCCAAAGGTTATCATGATTCCATTTTTTTTTTTTTTTTTTTTTTTGATGTATTATATATTTCTTGTGTTTATGTTGAGTTTTTTATCAATTTGTCAATGTTATGCAATAGTTTTATTATATAGCAATAGATGTAGAAACTCTTTATGTACTCATTGATTTTTGATCTATATAGAGGTTGGGCGGTTGGGCGGTTTGGCGTCCAGGCCAACCCCCCACCCTCATCGAGTTTCGTTCTTCAAAAAAAAAATAAAAAAATCGACTTTTTTTTTTTTTTTGTGAAGCACACAATATTAGTTTCATTGTGTGCTCCTTTCTTTTAGTTGTAATGAGTTTAAAATCTGTCGTGTAGTTTTCAGACAGTTTCGTTTTGCTTATTTGTTGTTGTTCGTTATCTATTATTTTCGTGAACCAATCAGTCAGTAGTTCAGAATATACGGCTATTTTTAGATTATAAGTTTTTTTCTATACTTTCAAATGCAAACAAAACTATTACTTGGATAACAATGCTCTTTAATCTACGTAGGCCTCGTTTGGTTAGGCAAATTAGCGATGATTAACTGAATAATTGAACTTTGCTTGATGTTTGGTATTACTGAATAACTTTTCTGGTCGACCCGTAAAAGATTATATTATCATGGTTTGTCTTGCCTTCTAGGGAGCTTTTTTTATTAGACATTATCTTATCTTGACTAATCCTATTTTGGCAACCAAACGAGGCCTAAGACGATATGTTAACTTGCTTGAATTCTCTCTTTTCGATTATGTTATAATCCTACAATCTTTTCTACATATTCTGATGGAGATTTTTTTTTTGTTCCTATATTGATTGCAGAGAAAGAAAATGGGCCTAAATCGATAAACGATATAAAATTGATAAATGCTGGAAGGATTCTTGAAAATAACAAAACAGTGGCTGAATCGAGACTCCCTCTCAGTGAAATTCCTGGAGGTGTTATCACAATGCTTGTCGTTGTTCGTCCTCCGGTTCCCGACAAAAATAGCGGTAAACCCGAAATCTTGAACTGCACTGTTTAATTTATTATGGTCTTGTTTGGTTGGTAAGATAATTCGTGATAAATTAAATTAATTAGCTCTTATTATTTGATGGTTGGTTAGTGAAATAACTTGCTGGGGTTTATTGCATTCGGCACCTCCTGTATTTTTTTTCTAACTTTTCTAACTGTTAATAAACCCCTCGTGTTGTTTTATTGAATTTTCTCTTTAGCAAACTACCCCCCTAAAAAATCACTGTTTAGAGTTGTGTGCTTAAAAAAATGCAATTTAAGGGGGTTCTTACAATAAACTAATATGGGGGGTTTTTAGCAATTTGATGTAACAGAGGGGTACTATTGCAATAAACTCTAACTTGTAAGGGCGTCCCGCAATTATGGAAAAATGAGTTTTTTTTTTTTTTTTATCTTCAAATTATGCAATTGGCATCTTGTGAGATTGCATAAGCTTATCTTGGCCAATCTTATATTGAGAACCGAATGAGTGAGAATATCGAGGGACTATTTTGAACAGCAGACTATTTATACTCGATTTTTCGTCCGAGTATGAATGATGTGCTTGGCTTAAATTATTAAAATAATTCGTAAAATAACAATTGAATCTTCCTTAATATTTGGCCTGTGCTTCCTAATTGGTCTCGTCGTTGGAAATATTATTTTTCGTCACCTTCAGTTCATTGGTTTGTTTTTTTGGGTAAATCACGGCGGCCAGAGGTAAGGTTAAATTACGAAAAAAAACCCTATTGTTTCAGTAATTACAACCACCACCTCAACTATGTATTGTCTTACGCTTCCATACTCATGGTATCAAATTTACCTACTGAAAGAAGGGTTTTCGTAAGACAATACATAGTTGGTGGTGGTTGTAAATTACCCAAATAGGAGGGGTTTTCTCGTAATTTGACCTTACCTCGGCAGGTGGCCGTAATTTACCCTTGTTTTTTTTTTATCCGATTTACAGCCTTCAACATTGCATTTCGAATACTTGATGGATATTTCGGAATTTGACCTTACCTCTCAGGGGTTGGCCATAATTTACCCAAAAAACAAACCAATAAATTGAAGGCAAACCAATACATAGATGAGGGGTGGTTGTAATTACCCAAACATGAGGGTTTTTTTCGTAATTTGACCTTACCTAGGGGGTGGCTGTAATTTACCCTTGTTTTTTTCTTCTGATTTACACCCTTCAACATTACATTTCGAAAGTTTGTAAATATTTCAGAAATTCTTAGTTACGAATCTATATGTATATCTTAGCACTATTAGCATCATATACGCGGGAGTTTCTTTATTAATTTATTAATTTTGAAAATGCAATATTGTCGCAGATAAATTGCAGGATAATTCCAAGACGAAAGGGGGATGCTGTTGCTCCATCTTATAGCATATTCCGACAGTAATCTACTGCTTCGAAAAAATTCTTTTTTTTTTTTCTTTTTCTGCTTCGCCGTATGTTAGCAATGCACGTGGTGGATTGCATATACAAGATTCATTGTTTTGTTCTTGTGGGGTGATATGATTGTGGATGAATTCATCGAAAGTCAAAATCGAGAAGAGCGTTCGATGTCCAAATCAAGGAGCAAAGAACGAGAAGAAAAAAAAATCGAATGGATAGTGCTGCGCATGTGAAGGAATCCCGTTTGTTTTTACAGTAATTATGTGTGTGAATCTTTTAAGGTGTATTGTTGTGTATGTATAATGTTTGTATGATGAAATTTGGTGTAAGTTTGTTTACATTACATACAGATTGGAAATCTTTTAATGCATTCATTCTAGTGATACATTGGCTTGGCTTATAATTTGTTATTATTTTTTATTTTATTTTTTAAAATTTATTTCCAAACAATGGGCTTCATGTGGCACATACTTATTTTCATCAACTTTCCCCTCTATAAAAATAGGTCTCACTTTTACCACATTCTGAATTAAAATTGCTCTAATGGGTATATTTTATTTCTCCATAAAACGGCTCTGTATATATTAAACTATTATAAAATATTCACTTTTAATATAAAAAAATCCAAATTAAAATTCAATATTTGTATAATTAATTAATAAAATTGATATAACTAATATGATTTTGAAATTATGCTAGTTTAACTAGTTGTTTATTGTATTTAATCATGTTGTGATTTGCGTTACTTTGTTTATTTTTTGTCTATTTTCTGTAATATGATAAAAATAATTAAAAAATATGAGATATGAACAAATAACATAAATTTTACATAAATATTAATAACACAAAATATTACAAAAGAGTTGAGTAAGATTGTATCCCTCCGACTAATAGAAGACATCAATAAAAATTACGAGAAAGCTAGAAAACTAATTATTAGGTACGGTGAATGTTGACTTGTTTTTTTGTGCACGACTTATGATTTATGTTGTTGTTCCACAATTCAAGTTTGTTGTTCAACAATCCAAAGTTTATTATCATCTGTAGGAGTTGAATTGGATACATCATCACCGTTTTTGTTCTTGCTCTTTCATTGTTGCAACTCTCATTTGCTCGGGTTTCTTTTGAGCTTGTAGCTGCAAATTTGTTGCTTCTATTTTGGCTTATCACTTGTTTTGTTCAATTGCATTTTTTTCTAATGCCATCTTCTTGAAATTGACTTGATGCTTCTTTTCTCATATTAGAAAATTCTTTTGCAAATAGCGAACAAGGAAGTTTTGGTCGCGTGATTTCACGCTAGCAAAACATCTCTGTTCGCGTGAAATCACGCGAGTAAGGATTTTTAAAAAAATAATAATATTAAGTCGTAAAAATTATATAAAAAAAATTAAAAATTGTACTCGCGTAGTTTTACGCGAACAGAGAGCTTTTGCTCGCGTCGAATTACACGAGTACATGTTCTTTGTTCGCGTAAACTACGCGAGTACAATTTTTTATTTATTTTTTATTTTTTTATTTTATGATTTCAACATATTTAAAATATAAAATAGAAAATAGAGTAATTTTTTGACACAATAAAAATATAAAATCGAGTAATCGTCCAACACAATCAAAATAGAAAATCGAGTAATCGTTCAAAACAATAAATATAGAAAAATGAGTAATTGTTCAACATAATCAACATTGAAAAACGAGTAACAATCATCCTAATACAGAACCAATGAAAATGGAAAACAATAGTCAAAATGGAAAACAACTCTCATGACCATCCTACTGTCTAACCCTCGATCCCCTAACCTTAGTCCTCGGATGCGTACTGCAACTAAGTACGAGCATGACCGACTTGAAGATCATCGGCAATAGGTACAGAAGGCCAGACTCCGACTGCAGTAGCTTCTTCCCTCGCTTTCTTTGCTTCTTCTCTTGCCGTCGCTTTCCTTCTACGATCGGATGCAAGAACTCCCCGATCTCCAATACGATCCGGAACATCCGGATTGTTCGATTTCCGACCCAAAGCTTTCATTAAACTCTTACATTTTCCCGCAACTTGACTCATTAAACTTTTCCCTCTACCTCCGGCCATCTACAATTTAACAGAAAAACTAAATTAGTATTTAATTTAAAAAAAAAAATTAAATTTAAAAAAAACAAAAGGTTAAAGTTGCTCGTGTGAAAACACGCGAGCAGACCAATTTTACTCGTGTGCAGGCACGCGAGGAAAGTAGATATGCTCGCGTGTTTTCACACGAGAACAAAAAAAATAAAAATAAAAATAAAAATTGGAGCTCGTGTGATTTTATGCCAGCTCGATGAACTGAGCTCGCGTGGTTTGACACGAGCACAAACCCCGTGTTCACATAATAACACACAATCTCAATTTTTTTTTTTATATTTTTCAGTAAAAAACATACGTATTTTCAAAAAAAAAATAAAGAAAAAAAATTAAAAAAAATTACATTCATCTACTCGTGTGTTCTACACGAGTAACTCCACTGTACTCGTGTAGAATCACGCGAGTAAAACCAAATGCTTCGTTTAAAAAAAATCAATAATCGTAATCTACGTAACGAAACAATCAAAAAAATGTAAGAATTACCTCCGATCTATTATCGTATCGGTCGGGATCTGAAGTCGAAGTCCAAGAGTTTGAGAGAGTTTTTGAGGATATTTACTTTTTGATTCTTCAAGAATAGTAAAAAAAGTGCATGCATGATTAAATTGCCTCCACAAATCATTTCAGAAAACAATAACATAATATACATTTTTTCAAAACAAAAAAAAATAATAATAATAATTGTTGGGCATGACTTCTCATCGTAAGAGATCATTTAAGGAACTTTAAAAAAAAAACAATATCATTATATTTTGTTAAAAGAAAAAATAAATTTAATTGTTTGATGACATATTTTGTCATCTGAAGAAATTATTCATAACATATTTCTCAAAAAATAATATCATAACATTCTACTAAACGGAAAAAAGAAGAAAAGGAAAAGTTCATTGGCACATTTTGTCAGCTGAAAAAATTATTCATGGCACACTTCCCAAATTTTCGACGTATCGGTATTCCGGTACGGTTCGGTGCAATATTACCGAATGAATACTGAAACACGTGGATTAATTCCACATTGTGTTTTTAACTTTCTTACTCTCTAAACTAAATTTTAGTTAGTGGGTTAAATAGTGCTTAGTGGATTAAATTATGGAATTTATCTTAACTTCCAAACTAACCCACTAACCCACTTTCTTGAGTGCTCTTGTGGTTGGTTTTCTTGCAGATCATGGGCTGAGGAGTGGAAGCTTGGCAAGTCTATAAATACCAAACTCAAGACTCAAGAATGTACAGATTTCGAAGAAACAAAAAGAGTGCTGAAGTTTAATCTCGAGAATTTTAGTGTGTTTCTAGGATCTGTTGTACGTACTCCTTATGAGTACATTCTTTGAAATCTAGAATTTTTAATTTTTTCTTTTAGTATCTAGATTTGGTTGTAAGAATGATCATGAGAATGATTCATTTGTAAGGAAGAAGTTTTCGCACCTCTTCCATTTGTATTCTTAGAATACTGATTTTAATATAATCTTTTTCCGTCCTGTAAAGGGCAAGTTCACAAGTATTTACTTGTGAACATTTTTCAATTCTGAGTATTGTTTCCTTTTATTTCCGCTGCTTGTTTATTCAAGTGTCATAACACTTAAGATAACACCTCTGTATTAAACGAATTCGGGACCATAAATTTTTTCAATTTGCATCAAGAGCCAACACTTGACGTATACTAAGTGTTTGTTCCTATTTTCTTTTTCAGAAACGAATTCGTGATGGATACTCAGATGACTGCTTCTATGCGACCTCCTGTACTCGACGGCACAAACTACACCTACTGGAAAGTCAAGATGAGGGCGTACATCAAAGCCATTGATGAGAGAGCCTGGAGATCTATTCTCACTGGATGGAAGCCACCAACTATCACAGATGCGGATGGGGATGTGTTTCCAACACCAGAACTACGGTGGACACCAGACGATCTATCAAATGCTAACCAAAACTCAAAGGCGTTAAATGCGATTTTTAATTCAGTAGATTTAACAATGTTTAAATTGATTTCAGTGTGCACTTCTGCGAAGGATGCTTGGGAAGTTCTTCAGCTACATTGTGAAGGATCAGACAGTGTCAGAAGAACTAAGCTCAGAATACTCTCCTCCAAATTTGAGAGACTGAGAATGGAAGAAACTGAAACAATTTCTCAGTACAATGAGAAATTGATTGATTTAGCTAATGAATTTCAATCTTTAGGTGGTCCTTTGAGCAATGAGACACTGGTGAATAAGGTATTAAGAACTCTTCCAGAAAGATTCAGCATGACGGTTACTGCTATTGAAGAGGCCAAAGATACATCATCTCTACGGCTGGACGAATTAATTGGTAGTCTAAAGTCTAGAGAGATGAACTTTGAAGATCAAAGAAAGGAGAAAGGAAAGGCTATCTCAAATGCACTCCAGGCAGAATTGGAGAAGGAAGATGTTGCTCCGGAATATGATGATGATGCAGAGGAATGTCTCAACAATGTTGCATTCCAAATTCAGAAATTTAATAAGGCATACAGGCGGAGTGGAATCAAGCCCAGACAATTATTTCCAGATGGCTCTCCGCAAAATCGACAAACTCAGCCCCGGAACAGATTTACTCCACAGAGAACATTTCCTCAAACATCTTCTCAGAACACTCTAAAAAATTCTTCATTTGTTCGTTCAAATTCTGAACCACCTAACTTAGATCACATTAAATGCAGGGCTTGTTCAGGATTTGGACATTATGCTAATGAATGTGTAAATACCTTGAGAAGAAGAGGAATGAGTTTGATTTGTGCTGTCAGTGATGAGGAGGAAGAGCAACCTGAACAGACAGAGGAACAGCAATCCACTAAACAAGCTCTCTCTGTCAGATATATCACTGGAAATGCTTCTGAAACAGAATCACAAGGAGTTTCTCTGGATGCTGCAACACCTTCTGAAACACTTTCAGTAACTGAAATTTCTGAGTTTAATACTGATCATTATACATGTTTAAACTCTATTTCTTTAAATGCAGCAGAATCCAGCATTGAAGCAGCTAGTGATGAGGGAGAAATGTGTAAAAAACTGGCCCTTGACCTGGAGAAGAAGACTCAAGCTCTGGATGCAGCCAACAAGGAAAATTCCTCCCTCAAAGAAACAATCACACATTTGGAGGTTGGTATCACCAAGAAGGATCTTGAACTGGCAAAGGTGAAAGATGAACTCAAAAAGGCAACTCTAGCAATCAAGAGGATGAACACTGGCACAACTAAACTCGAAGAGATTGTGTCAATGGAAAAGCACTACAAACATGAAGGGCTAGGGTTCAAAA